GTATATACAGTATATGGGACATAGTATTGTTTTTGTCCATGTCTGTGTGTCCCTGTTGTTCTGTCTGCCTTTTGTCTGTCATGAACAACTAAGCCCATTTTAGTGAAACTTGCAGAAAGTAAACACTGGCTCTACAATGAAGTAACTTTGAGTGTCAAATTGAGTCAAGATGGCTCTTAAAGCTAACTGACCTTAAAAACACAAACATGGCTGTAAATAAGTCAGTTTGACAGACATTGTGCTAGAATATAGTGTGGTTGTAGCTGAGAGTCATTCACAAAACACTCCTAGTGCTACTCATTTTGCACAAGATCTTTGCTTCAAACCTTGGCAATGACTGCTTTGAATTAAACTYGAAAAATACAACTGATAAACGTTTGCATTCAGTTTAAATCAGGAAACTTGAAACATGGCTGCTAAAACACCACCACGCAAAAAGGCTATTACTTAATTTTACAGCAAATGAGGTAAAATCTGGTGTGGAAGTGGCTGAATCATTCACAACCAATGCACTGTGTGTGACWTTTAGTGATATTGCATGAATTCCTGTATAATGTCACTTCCAAACGTTGATCCAAATTGCTACAGCTCCATTTCTCACCATTAAATGATTTTTATTTTTAACTCTGGCATGAAACGTGGCAGGCGGTRTGTGCTCCTTCAACAAATGCCAGCAGTTTCAATAATTAATGCAGCTTTAAAAATATCTTTGAAACATTTTTTGACAGYGACATTTTCCCCCTTTTTAGCAGAGCAGAGAGCAGCTCCTCCTCAGCAGCAGCCACTGTTCACTCCACAGTGACAACATCAAAATTTGCCTTTTGCACATGAACAAGTACAAGTCTCTATAAGTCGAAGTATACAGCAAAGTGCATGTAAGGAAGAGTAGGAAAAAAACTCCTAATTAGTTTCTGCAGCAACAAGTTTTTTTTTTTTTTCAGATTGAAAAGGTGAAGGTTTAGTGAGACCAAGATACCAGTGAATAAAGAAAATACAGTGTCATACTTTTACCTATAGGCAAGATACACAGCTCTTAGAAAAGTAGACATTGTTCCAGTATATAGGTTGACCCCAACCCACCTCCTTCCATCMCTGCATCTCCATCTTTACCCTCTTTGCCACAGAAATTTAAACAAATGTTCAAAATATACAGAAAATATGGAAATATATATTATATATAGATACATTTAGAGTAAGGAAGTAATGTTCAGGGCAGTTTGACCAGGTCCACATTTTCCTCTTTCCCCTTCAAATGCTGATTCACCTGCTGGCATGAACGGTCACTTGGCCTCCTTGTCACCGTGGGATTTCTGAGAACTCTGCAGTGCTCCTTTGAAAATTATTCTAACAAAAATAAATACTATGAATCCATCCCACTGTCACTCAACAGCATATTTCCATTTGAGTTAGAATGTGTTATTTTGTAGATCAAAAAAATAGTTTGATTCTTTCTTTCTCTGTGTGTGTTTATATTTTGTCCCATTTATTTTATTTTATTTTTGTTGTTTTTTGCATTTTTATTTCCAAAATACACTTTAAAAAGTCGTCCTCGTCACATGTTGAAAAAAATAGAAAGCTCTGATTGGCTCGGCTGTCTTCCGGTGTGTGACTTCCCTCTCGTCCAGCGGGATGCAGGAGCACCTGTTGGTGGACGGCATTGTTTGGAGCGTAACAGGAACCCAATCCCAGCTGTAAGCACACTAGTACAAGATGAGGGTCAATGTGAACCCGGCCAGTTGGCTCTGGAGGGCAGAACACACACCTACAAGCATTCTTACAGCAGGGGTTGAGGGAGGGAGGAGGAGAGGAGGACGGGACGAAGAGTTTCAGAAAACTCCAAAGTTGCCTCTCCTGTTCTTTCTGACCATTCAAGACTGGCCCAAATTCCACAGTGAGAATTCCCTCTTGTACTGGTAAAGTTCTATGTTCCTATTCTGTGAGTCTGGTCTGTTTAAAAGCCTTCTATATGACAGTAGGCCTCCAGACTGGAGAAGAGAATGTAAAGGAACCAGAGGCTAAAAAAGAAGGCTGATGTGGCCAGTCTGTGTCCCCTGGGCCCACCAAGTTCTCCCCCGATATGGGCGCGGCGACGGTAAAGCAGCACCGAGACAGCCAGGAAGGCGAAGATGGTGAAAAGAGTGACGGAGAAGGCCAGCGAGCCAGCCTCAACTACAAATGGCTTCCCTTTCATTTGCCAATAAATGGCCGCTACCGACCAGGCCATGCCGATTCCCAGGAAGACGTTGACAGCGTTGCTGCCCGTCACGTTCCCAATGGAGGCGTCTGCGTACGTGTCCTGGACCGCTGCCACCTTACTGGCGAAAGTGTCTGTGGAGGAAGAAGACATGAGAGGTGACGCCAGAACATTTTAAACAGGTTACCAGAGTGAAGCCACTGCTAAACCAAAAGGAGATCAGGAGTCCAGCAGTGGTGAGCATGGTCCACAACACATTTGTTGAGCTTAACACAATGCACATGTTTGCTTAAAACCTTGAGGTCAACCCTGTGTGTCTGTTAACAAAATATGCCATGAACATGAGTTTATTTCAAGAAAACTGGAACAGTGTAAACACAGATGATRGTACAGCATCTAAGTTCAGGATAGAAGAAGGAAAAATTGTAAACAATCAGATGGTGAAAGGCTAATAACTGATTGCTGCAACGATACAATATCCAGTTCACAGTTATTATCATGATGAGATTTGAGACGTAAAGGTAATGGKCGGGGTCACAGAAAAAGGCTGTTCATTCATTTTATGTCAATAAGACTGATTGATATGTTGCTRTTTTTGTGGTTTCAAAGTCAGTTGGCTCTAACATTCTTTTAGAATCATGTTTACTCCAAAGGTTATTCAGTTGTAAATGTCTAAATRTCAGTTCAGAAAATGTCAAGAACACAGATTATATTGCTAAAAACCCCCAAAAAGAAGTCTGATTGTCAAACACCTGACAGCAGTGGATGTACAGAACGAGGCCTCAGCTTATCAAATGGTTGAACCAAGTAGTCCTGATGCATCTCAGTAATCCAGGTAAAAAAA